TGTGTATTCAGCACATGCCTTTGATTTCTCTGCTCTTTTTCAAATGCTATTGATTACTTTCTTCCTATCCTTCTTTTCTTCGATCTTTCTTCAAGAGTACTGACAGAGATCCACTCTTTGTGGTGGTGAATCTTGCTGCCAAATCTTCATGAGATGCTAAGGTTGTTGCATTGTTTATACCTTTCCAGTTGTTCTCCACTATAGTTTCCTCTTCATTGAGTAGATCGTGAAAGGATGGAACTTGTTACTGAGACATATCTTGAATTCGTTGAGTTTGTGTTACGCCTAAACGTAAACACGTCAACTTGATATGCTTGAACTATTGCGAGTTCACCTAGTCGAAAAACAAGATTATCCCAATTATCTCAATCCCACATTAGCTAAAAGTAATAAGACTTGATATGGAGTAGAACCTGTATTCTACAAGCATCCAGCAAGTACGAGGTCCGAATCGAGAAGAGAATCAGGATCCCGGACTAGGGATCCGGGACCTGGTCATAAAGGTTACAGATAATGCGTATTTATACATTTTGGTCGAATGAGAAACAGCATCGAAGTCTGTGACATTGATAGTCAGGACAACCAATAGGAAACAATATTGGAGCACGTGACATTGATATCTAGGACGACCATAAAATTGACCAGTAGGAATTAACCTATAGGAATTGACCAATAATTCTCTTAGGATATTGGATGAATATCCTAACAGTTTGCCAGTATCTCGAAGAAAGGCCGCATCACACTACATAATGCTGTTCACTCAGTTTTCCAGTGCCTCTTTAGTTCCAGTTTCATCTTAGTCACAAGCGACTGGCGATCTGACTCTATGTCAGGTCCCCTCTTCGGTTGTTTCCTCCATAGTCCTTATGAAATTTTCATTGATGACGATGTGTTATGATATATATATATATATATATATATATATATATATATATATATATATATATATATATATATATATATAATTATTATTAATGATCTTCAATAATTCAATCCCTTCCGTTATCAATGTCAATTATTTCACATTACGTCATTCGTTATTCTTACACATTATCACGTAAAGGGTTTTATGCAGCTTATGAGAAACGAGAAAATATAATTAATTCATGCTATTATATCTCAATCGCTGTTTTGGCTTTATTTAAATTAATAAAAGAACAAAAACATGAGATGTTGTTTGTTTCAATTTGTCAAGGACCCTTAAAGTTAATCAAATCGATTCAGTAATATTAACAGTGTGGTGAGGGTAATTAGGTTCTATGATACTGGATATTTGTAAGACACGTACATACAACACCATATGTTTCTTAATGACTGAAAAATATGGTGGACATAATAGGCACCCTGACAATCTATACAATACGATACTTTTGAAAAACTCCGTTTTTTGTGCCCTTAACCGTTAACCATTATCGTGAAATACAATTACACGTTATTATCTTTTGGTTAACAGCTAAGTTCCCATTAATCCAAAAGTCGCTGCCCGATGATACCAGAAGTCTGTAACCAGCCTCAGCTGTTTAAACCTTATATTACAAAAGAACATGTTGTACATAGAGACATGCGTAACCGCACAACAGGATAAATAAAAATTAATGAATGTAAATGAAGGAGCCAAAAAGTGATTATGAGTAGTGGATACAGTAAATAATAAAGCGACAACAAACTAAGAACAGTTAGTAATGACAGCAGCTTATGGGTTACTGGAAAACTTATGATCATAATAGTATATAGTTACTCAATAATTATGCAATAAGACTAGAACTACAGATTATCTGCAAATGATTTCCAATAGCTACCATCTCTTCGAATTCAGTTCTGATATAAAACTTTTACTATGAGATGTGAGGGCGAAAATTTTGGAATCGTCGTTATGTAGCGTACAGTAGATGATATATCTCATTAAAGTAATGAGTGATATAGCATCTGAGATAAGATCATACACAGTTTCACTTCATAGAAGCGTTTACGAATAAATAGGTGGAGATCATTATGTTCTAATCTCTGTATTTCGCTTCTTTTTTCTAACAAATGTTCCATATTTCGCTTAGAAAAGCAAAAAAGTATCATTTTATTTCATTAGAACATTTCACTGCTGATGAAAACGTTTTAGGATGTGAATAACAGCAAATTTTTCAACTGAATTCGTTATCAAGTTTAAAAAGGAGTTTAAAGAATATGCAAAATAAGTTTGTGAGTAAACGTAGCTAAGCAAATTACTATTCATCATCACAGAAATTAAAGGTAGAGCTGTGAATATCTAAAATACAATTTCTATGCATTATGAATATTTTATGTGGATGACTAAATGTTAGTCATTTATACCAAAATTTTCTTTTTTCTTTTTCTTTACTCATACGTACTAAACGTGAATAATTTAAAACACGTTTGGAAAGATGATATAAAAAAATATGTTTATAGTCATACAAATAATACTCCCATAAGCTTTATGCAACAATTCATTGTATTACTAACGAATCACTACTTGTTTATTGAACTGAATATGAGAAAGGCACAGATAATTTTCCACAAAAATTGTGATTAGTCAAAGAGGAATATTTTTGTGTGTAATTGTGAACTACTCATTAGTAGTTTAAGAAATGTAACTCCAGATTCTTGGTGCGCTTAATGAGCTTAAGGGAAGTAATAATTGGAAGACCATTGATATTGTAAACTGAACCATGTGCATTATCAAATTCAACAATGTTTCGGTCACGAAATATTTCATTTTTTATTTAATAATGTAACTCTATAAATTTAGATATAATGTAATAAAAGTGGGGCTTCACAAGCTACCACAACAATGTATGATATGCATAGCAAGACACTAGACCACGTGTTATTATTATGTGAAGTCAGGTGAAGGATTGTAGGGCATTGTAACAAAGGGATGATGAAAAGAGTGCATTACATCAAAAATAACATGAAATAGTCAGGTTCAAAGGTATATACGGAAATATTCGTAGTGAATCTTCCACTAGCGCTATAAATTTTCTCCATAATCCCGAAATCATATTGAATGTTATTGTTGAAAAAGTATGAGACGACTTTATCCTATGAGTTATTATGGATATTTAGTTGGTAATGCCCCTTCGAATCAACAACAACTACAAGCTATATAGGCTACTTTATTTGATCCTTTAGAAACACTCAATAATTTATATCAAAATGATACGATACAATTTACGCGTTTTGTATATTGTTTAGAAATGGATATTGGCTTTTTTGTCGGTTACTGATAAACGTAACAACAATAAATTAACCCTTCTCTGCAAAATGTATATATCATGCCTTTTGGAATTTCTGGTAATACATATTTATGACCTCAAATCCAATCCTTCTGAATTCCTCATTACTATCTTTTTAAGCTTATTTCACAAGATTCTACTTCTTGAATAATATCCTCGAACCCTAAAATTTCCGATTACTGCTAATACCTTTACTACCCTTACTACCATGGGATTTGAATCGACAATCACTTCTCTGTGCCAATGTGGTATGGCAACTTGAACTGATGTACGTATGTACATACGAAGTTCAACGTTGCTGTTGATTGATTGATTTATGACCTTTATGGAAAATTATCCATTTATGTTAACTTTTCTATAATGTAAAGTGCATAAATATTAAAGTGAATCTAAGAATATCAAACGTTCCTTAAATATGGTTGTAAAAAGTGCTTCGAGTACACAGTCTAAAAATAAGTTGAAATAAAGCTAGGATCATCAGTGAACATACGTTATACGACAATTTTTAGTGATTAGTCGTAAAATTTAGTTTAGTTGAAAATATATTGTTCAAGAGGATTTATGCGTAGCACATGTGCACTGCCATATTATACTTATAAAGCCGTTTAAGAACCGAAATCTTAACAAATTTAATGATGATTGTAATAGCCTTTTATTTTATAGACTGGTTATTCGATATCTATTTAGTTAATAATATAATTTACTGTGAAGTTTATACGAAAAATGTCATGTGTGACAAAGACATCACTCAGCGAACATTCTGTACAAAATGTAATTTTCATATGTCATCTCAGTATTGTGCATTTATTGATTTGATTTAATTTTAATTTTATTGGCAACACCTTCAAATTTGATTTTTGAATGTTTAGTCAAAATGAAAAGTTTGTGGAAAATTATAAAATTGAAATATTTTTATCATCTGATTATTTTTAATTTAGGAATGATTGTGACCATAAACATCATAATGTTTAAGGCTGATAATTTTACTAGAAGACTTTGCCAGAAAGTTACAAGAATACAGAAGATTGGAATGTTAATCATTTGTATTTATTATTATGTTTAATAGAAAAGTAAAACAAAAGTAAACTCCGATCGATGTAATTTACCAATAATAATAATAATAATAATAATAATAATAATATTCTTTGATACTGAACACGTTGATCATATAACGCTTTTGCAATGAACGATCAAGATCTCATTATTTGGAATAAGTTATAAATGTTCAGTGAATCCTAGTTAATTTACGACAAGCTTCAAAAATATCTTAAAAATTAAAGTTTGTGATCAATTTTCAAAGATCATCTTCTGTATCAAATAATGAATTTAACTTAGTTACTTTGTGAATAATTAGAAATCAATGAGAAAACTAATTGTGCAGCAGTGGTTTTGCTTGATTATATAGATGATATGGGATATTTTGAAGTTTACAGACATATTATTTGGTTGTATTATGATATTTCACAATGGTAATGTCCAAAAACATACTTGAAACACTTGTATGTGTTACTCCGAAGCAAAAATATGTTTTACACCGGAATGGCATAATGGGTTGCTACACATTACTGAATGAAAGACTGTGGAATGTTTCTTCTTTAGTGGTAGTGATATTGTATTAACTGCGACTGATAAGAAACATGATGATCTTGAACTCCGATAAAAATACAAAATATTGTTTCCATTTAATGACAGGAGAATTCCGTATTTATTAGTTCATAGAATTTGTTAGTTTTTATGCTATATACATTCTAATTATGGTGAATGAATTTTAATTAGAAGATTGATGAACCATAAAATTACTAAGTCACTGTTGCCAACTTGGATTACATATGAGGTTAAGTCATCGAATAATGTATAACATTTAAAATGGGATAAGATAAAGATGACTAAATTTAGTATCAGTTAGTAAAGAGGCTTACTGTTTTCACGTTTCTCGCTGTGAGCTTCATCTTCAAGTGATAGATCGCCAGTGCTGAAGCAACAAAAACAATTAATTTACTTTGGTTACACTACCTACTTACAAGTAGGTAAAGAGTACAAACATGCAAAATATTCTCGAAATATTTTCTGCATAAATTACAGACACTGTACTGCCTTTACTGATCTTGTTGAGATGGAGTTATTTAAAATAGTTTTCTTCAAAAAATATCTCCTAGGACCAGACTTTTGATTTATTCATTGCACTTTCACTGTCATAGATCTATTCACTTATCGAATTATTCAGCTGATGCTGAGAACGTACCAGATGTGAACTTAATTCAAAATATTAGTTCATAAACTATGGTAGGTCATTACTAGAATATCGAGAAAATTTCTATCAGTCTTAGTTCTGATTTCAATCGCCTATTTTAGAAATGCATAGAATCATACCTTGATGATGTTAGTTTTACTTTGTAGATATTAAATATACGAAGCTAATTTTCGTCTGTTTGCAGTAAAACAGGTAAATCGTATTGCATTTCATTATTTAAAGTTAAATAGTGAAGGAACTAAAATTATTTACGAAATCCCATTCGCTTGCAAAGAAGGAAGAATATCAGAAAATAGTTAAATTTTACCGGAAAATGATGGGTTGTAATATGATTAATGTCCATCGAATGAAATATGTTTACATGATAACCTTAATAGGTATTCATGTAGATTTACATGTAGAAGCGTAATAGTCTAATGACTGTTATCAAGGCGTTTTTGCTTAATATCATCGAGACACTTAAATTTATTATTGAAAAATATAACACGTCATTGGGTATCTCTATGGTGACAATATGACCTCATATATTTCAAGTAGACAAAAAATACATCCATCACATAATTTTCATAAGTTAGTTCACACATAAGCATTCTAGTAAGGTGTGTTGTATTGATGATTGTTGTATTATCATTTTTATAGGTTTCTGTTAATTATTTCATGATTTTGGATGAATAACTACATGGAAAGGTAATCAAGAGTAAATCCATAGAATAGAAAATGAATCATAATCATCTAAATATTTATGCGTAGTTATTTTGACCAGTCCATTGACGAAGTCGAATTAATATGTCAATGTAATTATATGCCTTCTTAGTATAGCAAAAAAAATCTGCATACTGTTTAATATTGAAGCTTTTTCGGAGGAAAAAAAAGAACTACAACCTATAATAATATTAAAACATTAAATCTGACAGTGTCTGAGTGTTTGTGTAAGATCATTTAATTTATCATACGTATTATTTGTATTACTATATCGATTTTGATTTGCAGTCTTATATAGTGAAACAATGTGGGTCTGCTGAAAATATAAAAATTATAATTAGACTAACGAATATGATAATAATCTCAATATTCAGTTCACTATTATAGCTTACCGTATCGATGAAGGAGAAGAAAGAGATGTGTCTAAAGTGTGTTGAATTTCTCTCGATTGACTGGAATACAATCCACTGTTTCTAATCATTTCTATGCTATCTGTTAAATCAAAACTTGAGTCACTATTGTCAAAATCTTCTAAACTATCTTCCAAATTCAAGGATATATCTGTACTATCATTAAAATCGTATTTTTTTCTTTTATGAGTAGATTGTATATTCGAATGGTTTTCATCAAGTATAACAGCCTGATCTGATGTTACACTGCTGTCTCGTAAATCAGATTCAGTTGCCTTGTAAGACGATGGAGAGGACAAACCTGCTGTCGTGGCTAAATCTGGAGTTTTTAATGAATTAGTATCAAATTTTATGTTGTTGGTTACGCAACCGGTATCAAATTCAACGCTTATCTCATCATTGTCATTTCGATTTCTAAGAAATTCTCGATTGTAGCAAAGTTGCAAATCTGTAGATGAAATCAGTGAATCTGTCAATTCATTACTTTTAATTAACAAATTCAAGTCGGATGTTTTTCTAATCTTTGTAAGTTGATCACGATCAAATGCACACACTGAAGCTGAATTCTTATCTTCAAAATCTTTCGATATAGTATTATTGAATCTAGCAATAGAAATACTTTCACGGTTTATCCTTTTGTCGAATTCGTCCATGAATTTCAATCTTCTCCTGACAGAACCTCGCCAAGAATAACTAGCCTTCTTGAATTTCCTTCGAAATGGTTTTTTTCTTAATCGTGATTTATTCAATTCAGAGATATTTTTAGGTGTTGATGTTGATATACTCGGAGACCTAAGCTTCTTTAGTGCTTGTTTGTTTTCAGAAAATTTCTTCAGTGATACACAAATTTTGCTTGGTTCCAGACTTAGATCAGCATTGAAGTGGTCTTGTTGATCTTCTTTCTCCTCATTATCATCAGCAACTGTAATATTAAAAGATGATGGTCTAACTTGAATAAGCATTTCATCAGTTTCATCATTTTCATCGGATCTCTTTTCATAATCTTGATTATTCGCAGTTGAATTATCATTGCCTAAGTCTCTATCCAGCAGATCAAGAGAGTTAGATGTGTGCTTATTAGTTGAGGTGTTGTCAATTGTTTCGGATTTTGAAAGACTGTTTAAAAGATTGGATGCATCATTTAGATTAGAGTTAAAAATAGTAACTGCATATCTGCTGTTCTGTTCTATCTTCTTGGATGGAAACCTGTTAATAGAAAACAAAATGAAACCTTACATACATTAAATGAAATGAAAGTAAACTTTGAGAATGTTTTTTTCAAAAAACAAGCTAACTTTCAGTCAAACGTACTATATATGTAAAGGTTGTTTCTATAACTGTTAGATCACTATATTTCCTGGTCAAAAGATAGACTGCCTAGTTTATAAACTTTTATTAAACCATTCCAACCTTTCAAATAAATATCAACGCTTAATATATGTTTGCGTATTGCTGTGAATTATCTTCAAAATATTTTTAAATTTTCGTTACTGAGCAATTATTATTTAACAGAACATCACCATTTTTTTTCAAGTCATTCACTACAATAGAAAAATATTTCATGAATTTGAAATATGGTCGTGGCTGAAATTGCTATTACAGAATCCAAAAAATCTAATTGAGTATATTTAATATGTAGGTGCGCATAACTGAAGATGAAATTCAAGTTGACTTATTGATTTATGTTCTGTCCTACTAAATTCACTTTAAATTGATTCTTTGAAACGAGTTTCACTGCTGAGTCTCTACAACAGGGTACGTTATATTTATTGTCGCTACATACTGTACTACTGATATTTATGTCATTCAAGCATTCTCATTTCAGTTTAATATATACTTTGTTTGTGTACACCAAAGAACCATCTTATCTCGGTTGTACTTTTAGACAGCCAATAGGTTTATAAAAACTTATAATTATGAAGATGTTGCCAATACTCATGCGTGATTCCTTTTATTCTGTTACGCGCTTCTGATAGACATCACTGTTACTGTTTACCAGGCTAAAAGTTAGAGATCAATTTTATTGAAAGACAATATTTAAACTTTTAATACATTCATCAGGAAATCTTATTAATTCGGATTATTATTTCACGGTATAAACATTTTATACTTCAAATAAGAAGTATGTATACATATACATAAATTGTTTAAATATACATGTATTTTATATGATTGTCAACTTTCTAAATGTGATAAACTAACTGTTGTTATTAAAAAAAAATCATCATTGATAAATTTTACATTTTTTGAACTTCTTAAACGTAACGTTTCAGTTATCTAGTTATTCAATCTATTATTGTAGATTGAAATAATTGGCTCGTTGGTGATTAGTTCAATAGGATTTTGAAACATATATATATATATATATATATATATATATATACATAATATTTTCTTATCTATATTGTCTTATAATTAATAACTATAGTCTTTAACAAAGTATTAACAAAAACGTTATTTTGCATATAAAATTAAGAATGATCGTTTTAAAAAGCGGCTGTTAACATATTAAAAACTAATAAAATATTCTTTGATACAAATGATAATTTCATGAAAATATATTTCCCATATTTATAATATAAAAATATGAAATAATAATGATAAGAAATTGTTTTACTGTAAAACACTTAATCTTTACCAATTCATTTAAGAGAAAAAATATCACGCTTTAGAATGAAAACTAACAATGATAGACAGATAGATAGATAGAATACTTATTGTAATTATAATTTACCAAGTTTCTAACATTATATAATTCATATTTATTAAAATTGGCAGAAATTAAAATATCCAGCTAGAGAATTAATAAATAAGAATTGCTCATAGATCTTGATAATTTAGATTGACTTAATTTCTTATTACTATCATTAGGTAAGAAAAAAGTGAGAGATTAATTTTAAGATCTAATAAAATTATCAGCAAGCTAATGAAGTAGTTTTTAATAAGTAACGCATTTGCAAAGCAGCTACCCACCTACGGTACTATCATATTCATATTTTTTCTGACATTTTAGTTTTACTAACGAGTCAAGTAAACTCTTGACATTTCAGTGAGCATAAGTTAGGTTATAAGTTGTGTGAATTGTTTAAATAGACGTGAAAAGCATCAGTTAATTAAAAAAAACAAGCATTATAGTCTATATAATCTAATTATGTACATATTATAAAAATTATTTTGTGCAAAATCAGCTAATCATCCTGATGGTAGTTATTAAAAGAATGGTGAATGGCTATCATAAATAATTTGAGAATAACTAGAAATCCGTCAATGTTAAATTCTGTTACATCAATTAATTATCTGTCAATTATCTGTCTTACCTACTTATCCGACTACAGAAGAAATTCAATAGTTCCACTCTGTTTAAATGGTCGAAGCAAACTTTTTCATATTCTTCCACTTGAATAGTTTGTGTACTTTGATCTACAGTTATTAATGACTGAATATCATGAAGTGGCTGTTGTTGTTCATTGCAATCCCAATGGTCGTGATCATAATCATCCTGGGAAGATTTCTGAGAGACAAGATTAATAAAACAAGGATAGATTGACGAGGATTTATAATAACATGTATTTTTCTTCAGGAAAAATAATTTCATCCACTGATGATTAGTACTAGGTTGAGTTGTTAAATTTTTAAAACTGTGACGTAATATCATAGCGGATGATCATTTAATTATTAGGTGAACAGAATTGTCATCTACAAAAGCAGCATGATGTGGGATGAAAATAACTATTATTTGGGATTGCATTGTCAAAATTCAATTTTGGATAAAGACGTAAACTTATAGCTCACAGTTTGATGTTTGAATTTAGTGCTTTCAGTATTATCTCTAACTGATTGGCTGATTTCAATTTCCAATCAAATAACGTAAATAGACTTTAGAACTTTTCATTTGAATTAAGGTGTATTGAGGTCAATTCGAAAAAGCAATTGCAGAGTGCATAACCATATTTAATTATTACTATCATTATTACCATTATGAAAAGGTTGATTTAAAATCAATAAACCTCGGTTCAGTTGCTGTATATATAAAGAGGAACAACTATTTATCTATTAACAACTACAGATGGCAGTTAAACATTACAAAAACATTATGATTTCAAATACAGAAAAAAAGTTTGTTTATAAACAGACCATGATAATCTTTTTGAAATGAAATGATTTTGAGTAAAATACCGCTGACAGAAATGACTCAATAAAGCATAAATCATTTTTAAGTCTTATTTGTGATTATTTTATATAAGTACATTTGTACGATTAAAATTTGTACGATTCTGCTTAGAGTTTCTAGAAAATCAATATTTTGATAATGATTACGTTCTTTTGATTGGCCTTTTTTGCTGTATATGTTCATTCAGTAGTGACAAAAGATACTGAAAGTTGCAGATAATTATATGTCAGCTTGACTTTTTCAATAATATATGTTTTAGAAGAATAGTATTCTAATAAACAAATTGAAATTTCATGACTTATTCTTTCTTTCTGAATTTCATCATATAAGGTGAAATAAAGAACCAAATATTCAAAAATGCCTTCATTGAAAAATAGTGTATGTTAATTGGTGTATTTTTTTAGTCAGATAAATCCTTTACTGGAACCCACAGAACATTTTATCTGTGGTGAATATGAAATTTAGCACATTATTATTTAGAAGAATACTTTAAAATCCTATTTGATTTTAATTACAAGTCCTATGAGAATAAGAAAATACACGTATGTCTCCGAATAAAATCAGACAATACGCTCCTCTAAAGTTTTATTAATCACTTAGGGTTCGACTTACCATTTTATTATCGGAATTTTGAATTTCGAATGGCTGAATGTATTCTCCATATGATGTAGTCAGAATATCTGTGAATAAATCAAAAAATGTCCACCATGTGTAAAAATAACATTTTTATGAATAAAATATGAGTAATATGGTAGTAATCAATTGGTCGTCTAATCAGTACACGTATTGTCGTCCAGTTCATTTTATCTGTTAGGAAGAAGGTACATTTTACGTTGGATACACCTGGGTTTCAGTTTCATTATCAAACTAAGTAGCCTTTTTTGTAAGGGATCACTTCACTGAGTAAGTTTTTATTTAAAATTTAATAGTCTCTGAAGAAAATTTGGCCCACGTCTGGCAAAAATTCATTCACTTTTCAAAGCAGATTTTAACAATAAAATCACTGAAAAAAGTTAGCTTTTTGCTTCACTCACTATATGTCCGTCTTATGTTGCATGTGTTTAAAGATGGACAAATTCTAACGGATATATATTGTGCAGAAAACAAGTGATAACAATAATAAGATAGTAGTATATGAACGTAGGAGCATATTTTATTTGCATGTTACTTTTCATATAATCGTAACAACGATAAATGAAGTAAAATTAATTCTTCCACTCCTGTATATTACTCATAAGTAGTAAGTACTTTTATGGTTCATTTTTGAACCGATATTTATGGTAATAAAACATTGTGAAGTATATATATTTTTAATTTTAAGGATGACTACTTTGTCAAAGATATAAATAATTAGAAACAAACCAATATTGTTTTTTGGGTATTTTGCAGATTTGCCTTGTAAAATATGCTCGTTGAAACATGTAGACCCATTTAAATTGTTTGAAAAGCCACAATTCTGCATCTAAAAGATAAATTTCAAATTAATATAGATTAGGGAATTAATTTTCATTATATTTTCCATAACGTTCTTTCCAGTTATTTATATTGTATATATTTTCATGAACATATGCAATAATGCTAACATGTAATTTATTTTCCAAGTATATTTAACTGATGTGTTTAACAAATCTTGTTCGTAGATATTTGATGAATCATTGAATCATTTACACTGTTTTCATTCTCTTTCTACATTTCGCAATGTCGTACAGTGATCATATATTTTTAGGAATATTTTCTCAGTTATACTTACACTGCATATCTGTTTGTCTAGATTGCTTGTGTGAAGTAGCTAGTTTTCGGTAACATTAATTTTCTTTAAATTTAAGAAAATCTTTGCACAAGTACTGTTTTTATGTATACTGATTGCTTTTTATTAAAAACAAACTTACTGAGCTTTCAGAGCTGGATTTTCGGAGGAGCGTTTTGCGTTTGTCCGGTCTTCTAGAATAATCTAAATACTAGATTACATTAAAAAGACTAATGGTTAAGGTCATACAACATGTGATAATTTCAAGTTATGCATTAAATGAAGATAAAGCAGCAGATTATTTGATAAATATAATGTTACATTACTTGTTCAGTTCATGACCTACGTTCGGTCATTTATCTGAATATGTTTAAGCTTCGACGTATGTATATATCATTGATTGATAATGTCACCTTTTAAATTTTAAACGAAATAAATAAATTTACGCCCAGTATGTATAACCAAATAGTCTTTTATTGATAAATTATCGAAGCAAAAATTGGTAAAACTATGTTCCCAACACGTTTTGGATTTCAAATAAAAGTATGTGAAAACGTCCTCTCTTATCTCAGCTAAAATAAATTTAAGAAATCAAACGCTACCAACTTTCAGCAGATGAACACAATATCGAAGAAATTCATACTCCAAAAAAGAGTTTTGAAATAATATTATTTACATACATCGATAAACAAACAATTTTACTGTTAGTTGGCTAGTGATAATCGATAGTCAAACTCGGTTTCATCCGTGTTGGCAAATACTAGAGAAATTTATTCATAATCAAGGACTAAAAAAGCATGATCATAATTATGAATCAGTAGTCAACTGATTTAGCACGTTACTCCCTAATTCAATTATTCAATAGATTGACTGAAATTCCAAGTAAGTAATTGCAAGTTATAGATGAATTCGAAAAGTATAACTTACTCATTCATACTGTTTAATCAAATACCACTAATAGTTTCGATCAAAGGATACACTATCATTACCTGATATTTAATATTTATGGAATTGAATACTAATAAATCAGTTAAGGATTTGAACAGTATATAATTCTTATTAAACAATGCAGTGTTTGTTTGCCGTGTATTCTTTTTATAAAATTTATACAGTATGAACTATTCTCAAACTCAAAATAGTATTAACCAATAATGAAACAGCAGGCTGTTGAAATGATTTTGAGAAAGCAATAGTTATACGTGCATTTTTAGTTGCGTAAATGATGTTAATATTTACTCTGCAGTTTGCAAAGCTTACACTAGTTCATGAGAAGAAACTATCAAAAATGAAAAACCAATTGAAAACTTAAGTTTTGACTAACACTTACTTTTCGAACTGTAAAATAATCGTCTCTTTCATGCAGTCTTCGTTTTAATATAGAAATTTCGTTTAAAAGTTGTTTTATATAAGTAGTACACGCATCCTAAAATAAAAAATGAAATTACGAGATAATACAGGTAAATCTTTGAATTTTTTTAGTATTTACCTCATTTACTTTGGGTGCATTTTTGATTAACTTGGCTTGTTGAGCATAACGCAGGGTATTCAACGTTTCGTTGTAATATTTGTAAGATGGCGATATAGCTATCAAAAAGTGAAATCAAGAAATAAAAAAACATTAAAAAAAGCATCTTTTTGATAAATTTATTAAAAAACTTAGTTAATAGTTTACGGATTGTAATTTATACTTAAATATAATACAAAATTGTAAATCACTCAGTCTGGATTGTGGTATTAAATGTAGCACAAATGAATGAATGCGAAGCTCATTAAACAATGGAGAGTATCCTTATGGTCATGTGAGCTACAAGAAATTTTGAATTACTGTGGAAAAGTTGCATAAACTTTCATACGATTGAACATTAACGATTTAGTACTATCACTTTTTTTATGTCAGTTCCTGTGAGATAGATACCCTGACAGAAAGTGAATAAAGTTCATCTCTCGTCATTTGGTCAAAAGGGGATATAACGTAGGTGTTTGATAATCAATAAGAAAATGATTTAAAAAATTGATCGGTCCTATTTCTAAAGCAACCAAACGAATAAAAGTAACTTCTATTATTCAGAATGATATTGTTATTAATTTCGCAATACATTAAAGATATTTATTCCGAATAATTGACTTCAAAATATGAGATTTGATTCCTTCAATCACAAGTTTCTTTCCATAAACTTATCTCTAGTCCAGTAACTCAAAAAGTCAACTTTTCTCACAGCAAATACTATTTAACGTGTGGTAATAAGTTCAAAGTTTTAATGATCAGTTGTCACAATTTCTTAGCTCTTTTCTTTCAATAATGATTCTTGAAATCTTTCTACTTTATTTACCTTAATATTCAACTATCTTTATAACGTCTTCATGTTTAACCAAGATTTTTCATCATTCATAATGTAAAGAATGTTCATTCAGTTTTTCATATGGCTAATACTCTTATTTAAGTTTGGAAGAAGTTACAAGAAATTACAAAAATGAGTTTAGTAAATCACTGCTACTAATGTAGGAAATGTTTAAGCAACTCAAAGAAACTCTATGTTTGTACTAAAATCGTTGAGTAGTGTCGTTAGTGGATTTATTCATTGCTTGTTCAATCATAATTAAGTAATTTATTTAAACGCAGAAATATGCGAAATACCTACCGTGAAATTAAATAAATAAATATTTCAGAATGAAACTTATCTTTTTTTTAAAACGATTAATTGCTTTTATCTCTTTTATACAAAAGGAAATGATGCATTTCCTTGAATTAAATTAAAATAAGTCAATAATGCATTATTACTAGATAACGTAAGAAAATAATTATGCTTTAGTCAGGCTTATTTTTTATTCAATGATAACCAGTGTCACAATTGTAACTCATAACCATGGAATTAGAAAACAGTTTTTAATTCATATATTTTTTTTACAAAATTATAAATTTTGAATCAAATAAATTGGTTTAAAATACTACTCGTTTATTCGACCAATCAACTAAAATATTTTTAAAGCAACAAAAAGCTTTTTTACTTATTATTTTTTATATATGCATAAGTGTATATGAACCTGAGTTGTATGAAGGTTATACGAAAACTGGTATCGTTAAACAGTTCTTAATAAGAAAAATAATCAGGAAATTTAGTTACTTGCTATCATTGTGGTACGTGCATTTCCACCCAAAGAATCCTTTAACAGCCATGTTAATTTGGAATTGCGATAAGGAATATGAAATGAACTAGTATGATGAGTACTTGAATTGTGAGAACTTCTAGTACTATTCAGTGTGGACTGGCTACTATGTGTTATCAGTTCTGAATCATTGGTCAAGAACGAATTCCTTTCAGCTGAATTAAAATTAGAGAGACTGTAGTTAAGGTTACTGAGCAGAGCAAGGTAATGAGTTATAAAAGAGAAGAATAATTTGTTTTATAGACTGGTAACTGCTACTTACCTAGGACTTGGCTGACTGGCTACAGTATAGCAGTTCTATTCGGAAACCATTCTTTGGAAGTTAAAAGTAGTCTAGAAAGGGTTTGTCTGTCCTAACTATAACTATACTTATGTACTCGTTATCTGAGTTATCCGTATTGTATAATGACAGTTCACTTTGTAATAAACTGTCACTCGGTTGAGCAGACAACCAACTAATCAAAACGTCAACATACTTCTAGAATAAAATATGTTATAACCAATAAAAATAATCCATTCAATGAATCGCATAATTATTCTATGATACTATTTAAGAACAAGTCTATTGTTGTCCAAAATTTAAGAATTTATTTCTTCGAAGAATAGGTTAACTTTAATTCTGTACTACAGAAATGACAAATGTAATTCTAACCTACGTTAAATAATTATTAATTTTATAAGCTCTTCATTTGCATACACACAATCTTTTTTTGTCATCATTTACACAGTAAAGTCTATTATTATAATGTTTCTATTACATTTTCATGTTTGTTTATTTGTCCTCACGGAATTATTACTTTTAAAACTTTCATATATACACGATTGTACAGTTTAATAATAAGTTCATTGATAAGAGGTCTTTTCTCTGAACTTCGTGTTTGGAATATATGAGCTCATATTTTACTACATGCATAAACAAACGTTACAAAATACAGATATTGTGCATAGCTTACCTAATCTTCCAATTACAGTGCTCAAAGATGATAAGGATAGGTTGATATTTCGTCCTTCATTGAAATGTTTTTTGTCACTTAAATTATGTACACTTTCACTAAAGTAATCAATTCAAAAAAATTGAAATCTTCACTTTATATATATCTACGTATATTATATAACTTAAATTTCTACATATTAATTTAGTAAAGGCCTTATAGGAAATGATTTAAAAATAATAAAGAATCATTGAAACTATTACTCCTAAATCATTAAAACAACAAGTAACTCAGAAAAGAAAGACCATTGAAGCGGGATAATTTATACTACAAATAATTCTCTACTATTTTTTACTATTAAATATGTACAAATCAATAACTGCTGCTAACTGAAGGATGCAGTATGTTTTCAGTCGAGCAACTTTATGAGATATAGTCTAACACTTGATTTTGAATATTTCAAATGTTTAATTTGTAGCTTTTAGCAATATTTTACACGAGGCTTACACGTATGACCTTGGCTAATTTATCTCAAAGTTTTGACAATAGTAATGGATTTTATTTTCGTCTAGTCACTGGGATATTTCTATTATATTAAAACAGAGATGCATGTCTAAATTAATATAAGATAAATTTTATGAGATAATTTACCATGAGAAGTAATCATCATATGATTTTAAGATGATGAAGATAACTAAGACAAATCATTTGATTGGCACACTCTACTATATTTTTCTTTTTAAAATCGATCAAACAAATATGTCCGAAAGCAAATAGAAATAACTAAATTATCCGGTCCTTAAAGAAGATAGTGACTGTAATTTTTTCAAGTAATGTGACTCATTTACAAAATATAGATCAGTGTATCTGACTTAAGGTCACACAATTTTTATGAAAGATCGTAATGTGACTTGGACGCCTAAGCGAAAGTGGTCAAAGATGGCAACTGTCAACTCATTGGTAGAAATCTGAGATCATTAACCATTGAAAGAATTCTTTGTAATATTTATACTATCCGTGTTTTCGAATAATCTGTCACAGATACTTTGTAATAATCATTAAGATTATCTGAATTTTTTCATTAACTGCAATGATAAATTGTTTACTAAATGTGAGAGAGATGCGAAACTCATTGATAAGTGAAAATGTACACTGAAAATATTGATGGATAAAACATTTTAGAAACCCACCTTCCAGCCAAATCAATTAGACAGAGTTTACTGTTTATCGTTCTCGGAAAATCATCTCCAGATCTTGCCTGAAATTAATTAAATGCAAATTTTATGGTCACTAACTGCTAACAGTTACACTATATATATATAACAGTTGAAACTACATTCTGCATTTACGTCAAAATGTTTGCCTTAATTTAATTAGCGTCTCAAGTTTGATGTTTTCAATTTTCCCTTAGTGAAAATGATACACTTTTCTGAGAAAAACAATTTTTGACGATAGTGTTATTGGAAAAGTTATCTCACTCGGAATCAAATATTCTGTGAAACATTTTTATCCTCCTAAAGGGTATCTTTATTACAGCTTATTGGTATGTTTACTTGCAATAATTATGTATTATTTTTAATATTTGCAAACTGGTCATTTGCTAAAACTGAAGTATGTACAACCTCAAAAGAATTTTGCACATCTATCAACGAGTATGGTACATGTAAATAACAAAATAGTGTTCGTAGATTGATATTTGCCGAACAGCATATAATTGGGTTGATCAACGATACTGACACTATATAACATAAACCTACCTCTCTATAATACAGCGTGCAAATTACATGACTTCTGCTGCTTTTTTCATGAATATGGTTAGAGGCTGTAGTCCTATAAAGGGATCGCACAAAAAAACAAAATCTTTAAATTAACGTTTCTTCATTGAACATTAATACAAGTAAGATATTATATCTTTTGTTACGTAATACGAAAATATAGGATGAATGTAAAGTATTCCATCAAGTTCATGAACAATTGTGAGATAAATTATTGAACAAACAGGGAAGAATCTAAAAAACGATCTTCAAATTTAGAAGCATAATATAGCATGTAATTACACTTCAGTATATTTAATGCTGTATGTGTACGGAATACCTTTCAAAACGAACGTTATCGGTTTAAAAAGACAATGCATCTGTAACTAAATAAATTAATGAACAACCATACAATGTTTATGCCGAATATCCATCATTAAAAAATCTAACTTAACTCACTTGTTATCACGACAGTGATAATCAATTAAACAGAGACTGAAATGTACATACAGTATATAATTAATTTTCTTCAAAATAGGCCAAAATGTTTATTTCTATATAATCTTATTTCTAGTGATGTATATTGTTACCTCTTACGAACCTAATTCTAGTTTGCGTCTCAGGAAGGTATTACCTCACAAATATTAACTGATCCACATGATTATGTAACCACACCATCCAGAAGGACTGTGTAAAGAGATTTCTACCTAGATTTCCTCATAGATTATTCTAGCTAAACATTGAGAAGAAACATGTTCCAGAGATATTTCTCCCGTGATTAGTACCTCATATTATCATAAAAGTCTATCGGAAAATTACACACTATAATGTAAAACTATTAAAATAGTTACACATTATGCCAAAAACAAGAATATGAACAGTCTTGAAGACAATTAGAAACACATTAACATTTATATTCAGTTACCTTGATTAAAAGGTATGAATAAACATACATAGAATAGTTTATCTTAACTTCTAGTCAATTTTTGACTGTTGAAAAAGGTATCGATGTATTCACAAAAGATATTTTAGACAAAACGATTTTAGAAACTTGAATGTATTAGTAAGTGTTATACGGTAAAGGACTAAAAATGAAGAAATTACTATTTCTTGCATTCATAAAATCCTTATAAATTAATAGTGCTTCAGGACCGGACTTCATTATGTACAAACTACTGAATATGCAATCAAATAAATATTTCATCTAATTTCCGTGTATTATTCCTAGGCGAACTCCAAATGGTAGTAATTAAAAGCCCGATACAGTTTCACTTGGTTGAATTTATTTAATTCACTCGCGTAAGGGGGATATATGACAGAGAAGCTCAACAGCGGAACTAATCAAAGAAAATCAAAGCGGAGAAGGCGGGTGCGTCAACTAAATTGATGAGGCATGACTGAAAATTTATAGTCAAACAATAAATAAGCTAGATAGGGTTAAGCGAAGTAAGCACTGCAGACACACAAAAGTAGAAATAACCAACTTTATAATTAAATAATTAAGAAGGTTAAATTATGTGTGAATAATGGCTCGTAAAGAATGGATGAATTAATTTGCTCAAAAGCCAAAATAAGTTGCATAGGATTGACATATTAGTACACACTACATGTTTCTTCGTTATCATATTTTGATATTTTTGAATAATAAAAATAATATACGATACTTACCTATTTCTAATACTTTTTCCAATGATTGCACGTAAAGATTTAATATCAGTCAGAGTTGCTTTAGTTAGGCCTGTAAGAAATTAAGCAGTAGATGTTAGAATTCAAACTAGTAATAAAAAGAAACTCCAACTTATAGCATTCAAAATTCTAAAGGAAATGAATTTCCCCAAAAACTTCATTAATTAAGAATTCAAGTTAAGTTTTTCGAACACAAATCAGCAAGCTGAATAACTTAAATGTTCTTTGAGCTGTCTGTGCTAACTAATCTTAACTTGCTTTTCTAAATTATTTTCAAAGTATGATAGAACAGAAGCAGATTATCCATAGTTGAACAACTGATTAGGACTGAACAAACTGAACTAGCTTCATATGGCTATTAACTTATGATAACAGTTGGTGGTTAGAAACTTAAATGATCTTAATAAATAATGAATGTTTATGAATGAATGATTCATAATTATAAATAATACAGCCTATAATTGTGACCTAGTATTTCAAACTAAGTTACACAACTCACCATTAAATTAATGACAAATTGAAAAGTGCTTAGGATTTTGCAGTGTCCTTTAGAAGTTGAAATAAACGAAAACCACTTCAATCTAGTACAGAACAACGTAATATTATACCGATTCCATGTGCCTATGATACTAGTAATCTTGATATTTTGTTTTTATGTACGTTAAAAAATTTAGATATTGTAATGGAAAACTAGTATAAGATAAAATTATTAGGTTAATATTAGATCATTTTCTTTCCGATCTAAACAAGATTTTCTTAAAGAAAAAAGACTAATACTCTAAGAAAAGATAAATGAACAAAAACCATTACCTTCCACATATGGTCCATCCTCAGGATGTTCACGTATACGCAGTGATGATTGTTCATTTGTATTGCTAAGTAAATCACGGATTTTCTCATTGTATATTTCAGTGAAACTGTATTTTTTCGGCATAATGAAGGTAAGAGTGACAGAATAGTTTCATAAACAAATACATATCAATTATATTATTTTTAATTTTAAGTTATGACTATAGGATTTTTTAATAATCGTTCATACATCTCTAACAACATATAAGGTATAATGCAAATGTATGGAACTGATTTCATTGCTGCAGTGAATATGCTTTGCTTATTATACTATTTTCATGTGGCTAGAGATAAATTCAAGATTATTACAATTTTGTAGTTTTTCTGGTACATTAAATGCTCTGAAGACTGTTTAAAAAATTTTTTGTTGTTAGAACTGGTAACTTTTAAAACAGTAGTTGAAAGCTTTATGAAATCAAAACCTTAATAAATTAACTATATATAAATTGATAGATCATGATATACTTCTTCCCTTTGATTAAAGTAGCAGAGAATCGCTTGATGAATTTTTACTACTAGTTATTTTAAAGATCTAAAATTTAAGTTACATATTTTAAAAGACATTGTAAGTTGTAATTATTAAACTACGGGATGAGTAACTAATCAGTCTCATTATTGGCATATCTTGATTTTGTTCCAACTGACGAATAAAGCAAAATCCTACAACTGCTCATCCATTTACTTAAATTTAAATGTTCTATCATTCTGTATTAATTCTTGGTAATGATATTAATCGAAAATATAAATCTACTCCCAATAAATAGCAGAGTGTCCACAGTCATAGGTGATAAATTATTTATTGTATTATGGATGACAGAAAGGAGAAATAGTAATAAAATTATTATATTCTTTTCAACTATATATTACCGCGTGCTTTAAACACTATTCAAGCGTGAAACTTTTATTCAAAATGAATAAATTGCAATGATAATAATAATCAGTCACATTCAATAAATCTATTGGAAGAGACGGAAACTAAATTTTCATATTCAATAACACGGATATATTCAAATACATTGAAGTCTAGTGTTGAAGTAGTTGAATAAAAAGTGTTAGTCAAGGGTAGGTAAAATTGTATTTCACATTTATCAATAAACTACTAATGAATAGAGTTACTGTTGAACTACATTGAGAAGGAATCAAATGACAGATTAAAAACTGTAAATTAGATTAAATATCAGTTTTTAGGACTTCGATACTAACTAGAATCATTATTTTTATCAATTATAGATCTTGTCTGACTACAATTCAACTGCGTACAATACGAAAATTCGTATTGGAGCATGCTAAATTATAAATTAATATTTGAAGTCAGCATCCATAACTCATTGTATCATACTTTCGGAGCAACGTTACAGACTATTGCTGATAGCATTTAAAACGGATGTGTTTATATCTTGTCATAATATCAGTGAACTTCTGTCCCCGGTGTAACTTGACATATCAAATTAAATGACAATTAACAAATAATAAAATAGACGGTAGGCGAGATGTAATATAGTAAAAGAGAGACTTGTTTTCCCTGAATTTGTTATAATATATAACATATACATTCATAAAATCGATTATTCGTATCCTTCACATATACCTTTGTGTCTAGGTATTTAGATGAACAACAACTGTTTATTTAGTGGTGAAGTGATTCTTTAATACTATCTGAAGTCTGCGGTTGTCAAAACAAAGTTTCAAGCTCATTGAGAATATAGGAAAATATCCAGTGAGCAATTTTAAGGTTATTACTATATAATTCTAGTGGACTCATTTATAATAAGATGGTTTCTGAGACTGTTAAATGTATTTATCATTTATTATATTTAAACACGACGTTCACTTGATTCTTATGACTGTGTTGAAAAAGCCAGCACTCAATCTTAAGGATTTTTCCATCATTTCAATGTGTTGCACAACAATCAAGAAACTCAAATATTTTAAATGAAAAGATTAATGTCAAGAGATATGAAACTCCCTAATTAGTTCAAAAGAACTGCTTCTTCTGATGTACGTACAAAAAAATAAGAAGATGGAGTACAATATTAACTAACATTTTACGGCAGTCTATTTCAAACAAGCTTACCACATTCAACACTATAACACCTATGGGATATATGTAAATACAAATTGCTTTTGAAGACAGAAAGATTTGAACTTTAGGGGCCATCTGAGTATTCTGAGCTGAATAAATTTTACACAAATTATAAGGCTTATAAACCTATTCAACTATTCGACAATGGAGAATGACGAGTAATTTTTATTCTGTTAATATTATATCATTTAGCATCAATTATATTTCAGCTATGTTGATCTATATTCAGGTATTCTAATATGCAAGTTTCGATAACTACTCCATATGTACGTGTTCACGTGCATATTAACTAGTAAACACAGTACGACCCCATACAGTCATTAATATAATAAGTTCCTAGTGACGCTTTTGTATTTTTTTTTTGATAACAATTATCTTGGCTTCATAGTAAGTTTTACTGACAATCAATCTCAGCCTTCTATTCAACACTTAGTTATTTAACTCACCTCTGAATGATAAGGCGATTGAGAAGCCAGTATAAGTGTCAGAAGCATACTAGATCGCAACATTATCATTACCTTTTCATTAGTGTTTAAATTTTAACAGACATTTTATCTTAGTTCAACATTTTATCTATCACCATCTCAAATACAATAGTAATAGATAAATTCCGCCATGCTAAATAACGATTTTATCAAAACTTAGTTTTGTTATACCTTTCAAAAACTATGGAAAATGAAATAATTTTCTGTCTATCTAAGCTTTCTACACAGAGATCACTTCACTAAAACAAATCAAGGAATAAGTAAAACTAACAATAAGTTCCAGTTACTTCCATTTTATCATTTCATATTGATATATCATTTAAGATAGAATCTATTAATTAATTTTATATATAAATCAAATTTTACAGTCCACATTGTGACTAGATTTTTTAGTTTGTCATATTTAACTAGTTACATCATTAATAATTGACAAGTAGCTTTGTTCTAGTTTTAGTCTTATGATTTACTTTTTTGTCTGAAATAGAAACATTTTCATGATTTTTCATGATATACTTGATAACAGTACAATTATTTAAAATTTTTTATGTAAATAATTTTCTATTTAAATTTATTATTTTGTTACCGGGAGTTACCTTGGTAACTACTACATAACAGGCAAGTGTTAAAAACAAGATGTGCTAAAAATCAGAGTTGTTTAAGTCTTGTTAACTAAATGTCTGTTTCAACGATTCATAACCTTTAGCTTATTATGCTAAATGTCATTTAAAAAACGGGTATCTTTTAACTTTCTGACTGAATAGTTCTTATCTTTAAAAATAAATTCAAATAATTCTATTAGACTTGAGCTGTTTCATGTTAGTATGTGTTAATATTATAAAATTGCTTTTCAGCAATCTTCAAATAATTTAAGTTGTCATGTATTTTATAACAAGTAATTTGTATGAAATAATTATACAATGAACTTATTACACATTATATTCTCTGTCATTATTTTATTAAACAATCTTTATTCAATTCATACTGAGATATAAGATGGAATTATTTACAGTCAGTCTATGTATTATCTAAAATGTATAACTGTTACGCTCTTCTCTAGGTATGCCTAAACTATTACGAGTTCACCTTAGTCAAATAACGAGAACAAGACAACGAACCAGAGTCCAGGTAGGCTACAGTGATCCCTTGACCAAAAGGTATCAGCAAGAAGTCTTAATATAGCTTAAAAACTGTATTCTACAAGCACCCAGCCAGCGCATAATGAATCCAAGCACTCGAATTGCGTTTATTTATACTTTACAGAGACGTCCTTGGGACAGTCACAAAAATAACATACTGAAATGACATGGTAACCAATCACATCCAGGGATTTTCCTGGTGGGAAATGTGATCTCAAGGTCAACTGATAAGGCCATGAAATAAATCAAAAATAAAGATATTTATCAAGCGAGTTCTGGGGATGTAACATCCCCAACAATATCCAAAATAAATATTGTAATTAAAAACTACATTTATAATTCAAGAATTCTAGTATGTCATGAGAATTTTTCAATCTGAAAAGTGTTTATGAATCGGTTTAGAGAATCATAGTAGTAGTTGGTAATCTAAATAAAATAATAACTTTTTAACCTGGTCGTAGAAATATTTGACATTGGGTAAAAATACAAACAAGTTTAACAGAAATCATAAGTTCCTATATCAGTGTTTTAAAAATAAATAATAAAAATAACAAAATAAAAGAAAAAATCTTGGCTCTCTGGTAATACCAATCCCATATGAAGAAAAGGGGTGAAATAAAAATCTCAGACTCTATAGCTGTTCATCGATTTCTTATTTTCAATAATTCTTCAAGTGACATCATTTTGTAGTGAAAAACATGGTAAAAATTGATTGGTAGTTTATTCTTGTTCAAATATGGTAGTAACTGTCAAAATACTTCTAGTAGTCTAATAGTCTACAGAGAACGTATACTATTTGAATAGGCAAAATAACGTTCATAAACTAAAACATTTATGTCTGTAATGTCCCCCTCAAATACTACTTGATCAAACAAAGTTTAAATAATTTTAAAATTTATTTTAAATCTATTGTTATGAATCCCCAATAAATAAATAATTCAGTTAATCAAGTACAATGTTGTACTGTAGAATCAATCCATCAATATTAAATTAGATAACCAAGTTCTGTGGTGTACTAACATTTCATTTTACGTAAAGTAACCCTATTGCGTTATGAAAAATAAAACTAACTGCTAACAAATGAGTATGTTGCAACAACATATATAAAAAAAATAACGTTTTCAATTAAATCGTCATCCGGTTGTACTCTAGTATACATAAATATTTACATGAAAATATTGGATCAGCCACGTCAATTTACGAGTCATTAATCACAATGAAGTAGACTACGTAACTACACATAGTAGTAAGTGTGAACTGTTAGGGGTAAGAACAGAAAATACTGTAAAAAAAGGTTTGTCAACAGTTCAGCGTTGGAAGTAGTACGTCGAACGTGGATAAATGGACTTAAACAGTGAATAACA